TACGCAGATTACATAGGCTATAATTTATGGAGCCAAAATCGCGGAAAAACATGTATGTACTTTATAATTTCACAATTACATATGATAATTTTTTATTCAACGGCCCAGTGAAGATTTATAGGTATTTTTAATTTGGCATGTGCACACAGTCTAGCAGGTGCGTAATGTCACCTTGAAAATGCAACACTGCGACGTGAAAATTTCGTCTTACCCAAATAAGTTAAAAGTTTCACTACATTACATAGTCAAATATCGCATATTTACAAAACAGTGATGTCAGTTTTCAGAAGAACCATTTAGTGTTTTTTCGTTAAACTATCTTTCCTTCTGCGGCTTCAACCCCTATTATATTTGCGAATAAGGTAAATATTTTTCTGCCTTATTTGGAACTCATTGTGTTTATTTACACTATAATATCTGATAAATTTAATTGAATTTTGTCATATTTAACGTATTTAATTGATTTTTATTTTAATGAAGATTGCTTGAAAATTCACCTGTCCTCGAATACTATATCGAATACACAACCTTTCGCAATACGGCCTCTAATTGAGGACTCACGATTTTTCAAGCAGTTCATACTGTTGCTTCTTGTGAGTGTATTTTAACTGTCGCCGTCTCAGGATACCAGAGACTGGTGAATTTATTAAGTCATTTTCTTTAAAATAAATAACAGTATCCAACTTTCCATTGATGAGGCAATCACGCAGTATTATGGAAAATCATCAAGAATCATGTTTGTATAAATTTAAAATTCGATATTAAATGTATTTACTAAGTACTGTATGTATCTGAATAGCTCGTTGGCGTTGCGGATAAGCGCCGCGGCGGATTTGTTGCTGTTAAGCAACTTTCGCAAGGGATGGGTGACCAAAAAAAATATTATCTCGAGCTATACCGTGCTTCGGAAGGCACGTTAAGCCGTTGGTCCCGGCCGCATTTGCAGTCATTAACACCTTCCAATTCTCAATGGATAGGTCATAGCCCATTCTCAGTACAGTGGACCCCCGGTGATCCGACAAACGTTTTGCAGGGCAGTGTCGGGTTATCGAATTTGTCGGATTATAGAGTACTGCCAAATACGCCCTATAGTTCTTTTTTTTAATTACAGATCAGATATAAAGATCTATATGTTATGTATATATCTATATTACTCTGAAGTACAAATCATACTTCATTATGTATATCGAATCTAGTAGGTAAATTAAAAAACATAATATAGAGCTTACGTATTAATATAATGTAAAAGTGATGCGAGTGAGTAATGTGAAAAATAATAATTTGCATTAGGAAATAATTGTGTACAAACAAATGTACGTAATAAACAAACAAACCTACGCGTCGAGCGCAATAATGGTGGCGCGCACAAATTATGACCTGTTCAATCATGCATTACGTATCTACCAAGAAATATTCGGACATGTCGGATTACAGGGGGCGCCGGAATAGACAGGGGCCGGATTACTGGGGGTTCACTGTATTCGATTCCATAAATAGGGGAGGCCTGAGCCTTAGTAATGGGGGCATTAATAGGCTGATGATGAATTGAGTGTTAGACATGTAATTTTATTAACTAAAAAGTTTTGTAAGAGATACATATAGTTAATATAAATGCATAACTTGAAAGTTTTCCCTAGCCGCTGAGACAATCAGTGCCGGTTCTATAACGTCGAATATTTCAATGCGCTGTCACCTTGAAGATGTGACAATAGCTTCACGGCGCTAGTCATTGTCGACGCGTGCTCTGAAAACTGGCTGCAGGTATTGAGTTTTCGTTGTGCACGTCTGTCCGTTCGGTGAAACGACATTGTGAAGGAAATAGGCCAGTTTTGGATTTACACGTTACATTTGTGTCGTAGGTATCTTTTGAGTGACGCGTAATAGGAATTTGTTAGCTATTTGGTCTGTATGGAATTTAGCTATACGGAAACTTTTATGCGAATAAAAAGTCATACAAATTAATTCCGTTAATTATGATGTCTATATATCAAGTATTGTTTGTCTTTTATATTATTGTCGTAGCGTATTTTGTGCTCCTCTGTACACTAACCATGTTTTATGCGAATCCTTAAATCAATATCGGATTGATATCAAGATAATTAAACGTTTGAAATTTGAGGGTTTCAAAACTACCGCAAGAGGCATTGTGATAAAATATAATGTACTCGATAGCAAAAATTGAATTCAAAATCAGCGTACTAGACCCGTAAGCCCGCAACTGATTATTCAAAAACGTATTATTACACTTGTCATGACAGAAATTAGTACCTATTAAATTAGTACTGAAAGATATCATGGCTAATGATTAAGTCATAAAATACTAATCAAATAATTATTTTTGTGCAGATCATTGTCTATTAAGCAATGTTGCAAAAAGTGCGATAACTTCGTTGGCATTGGTTTTGCCTTATCAGAACTTAAAATTGCATTCGTAATAATTCATAAATTGTTATATAATCGCAGAAACTGTTCTTTTTTGTAATTTAAAGTAATTAAAAATCTGGTACAATGATATTCCGTTTTACTATGGACTCTGATAAAAAGGGTTTAAGGCAAGGTCGATGAGACAACGCCTAGAAAGAAATATAATACTAAAACAACTAGAATTTATCATTTAATATTTATTCATGATAATTTCTTGACCAGTGGAGTTACAACGTGATTTTGTAATTTGATTAAGCTTTCATCTTTCAAGTCGTATAAATATCGGATTATGAAAACTATCAATTTAAAAAAAAAATGCTTCATAGGTCAACATCGACTTGCACACTTAGCATGACCAACTCGAAAAACGCGTTCCCTGCACCAAACGTCACTTTTCTCGGGACGAGAGTGAGTCACTTTTCTCAGGGGCACCCGAGAAAAGTGACATTAAAGTGTAAGCTACGCTGTTATATTATAGAACAGCAAAGAGTAAAGTATATATATTAAGAACAGCTTCAAGAACCCCTCGAGTATAAAGCTTCAATTAAAAAAAACCTTTAATACCTTTTGAAGTAGGTTTTATCTGATTGAACCTCTAAGCCTTTACAGCGCTAGCTCGACGTTCTAGGCTATTTTATAATACTATAGCATAGATTAAGTAAATATAACATGGGTCAATGCAATAATTCTGTAAGTATTTATTCCATGTTTCTTGCTTTGTTAATATCTCATTCACTTTTTTCATAGCCATCTTTTAATATTTTCTTCTGTCTTCGTCCCCTATATGACCATCCTAGCAAGATTCACGTTCATTTTTTCGTATCTGCTGTGCCTTTAGAAGTAAGATTGTCATGTATTTTATAATATCGGCAGATCTTGATTCCGAAAACAATTCATACGAAATTGCCAGCATAAATTTCCTTTCTTATGTATTAACTATGCTTATCGTTTAACGGTCAGTTAATATGAAATCGTTCGGGAATCCGGCCATTTATCATTGGTGGTACGTTATCGAGCGTTTGTTATTCAGTTTGGGTCGTCAGCACGCGGGCGACATACGCCTGTAACGAGATGGCAGCTTTGTGACGGATCAACGGCGCGTTAACAGCAATTGGAAAACCCGGCCCTATGCAACCCAAATATTTAGTCCGAATCAACAAAGATAAATAAAGTTAGTATGAAAAAGCTACGGTGTCCGCAACCTTTGGAAACGAAGAAGCCAAATAGCCATTTGTAAAACTTCCTTCCTTCCTTGATTTCAAAAAGCAGAAATGATTTCAATAATATATTTTCATATAAGACGCCTAGGAGGCCTACATCTAAATACGGAAAGCTAAAGAGACAAAGCGTACAAATATTTTCACACAAAACATATTTTTGGTGATAGTTTTAGCATTGATTTTGTAAGTTTTTTTTTTTATTTGAAACATTCACTCAACCATTTTTTTTCCATTGAATGTCATAATTTGTCCGGTTAGTTCCTTTCTATGGGGTTGAAATATAGTAACGAATAATTAAAATGTACTATAAAATTATTACACTAAGTATGTAGTTACTTTTAAAAGTAATATTTTTAGACATAAATATAAATGCGGATCCCTCTTATACTGTATACGAGTAAAGACACGATGGAAGTCCCGTGGGAAGATGCCAGTAGAACAATAAAGAATTAATAAGTTAACAACTACATGTTTAGATCGATTTATTTACAAGATAGTATTGAGGTGAGTATTATAACGTTTTGGGGCCAACACCTTGATATTTTGCTTAGATTTTTCAAGGGCATTAGAACGGCAAAATGGAGTCATCATAGATATTATGCACAATTTCGTACGTCTTAAAGATTGTAAATAAGCTAGCGGGTGATTTTGATAATTTATTGATTACACTACGTATATATTTGTAATATTTCAGGTAACAAGTTTTGTTCTTAATGGCATAGCCGTTTAGGATTACCATATCTCAGGATTTTTAGACTCTTGTCAGGATTGCGGTCGGATTTTGCAAATCTCAGGTATTTTAGAATTTTTAATATAATAAGAACATTTTGAAGATCTCTTTAATGAAAAATTATTAAATTTCAACATAATCTTCCCAACTTTGCGATGTGCAACGGAGCCAGTGAGATCCCAGTGATCAACAGTGTATAAAAACTATAATAATTTGATTTTTTTAAATTGTTAAGCATGTTTGAGAAAAACATATCGAACTGCAACAAACTCTCGGGATCTTTCAATGGAAATCAGGCTTATACTCCGGACTTTTAATTTTAAAAAAAAAAGCATCCCCATATTTATAATTCTGATTTTATCGGTGTTTTTGTGAAATACGGAAATGTAGGACATATATATTTTTTAATAAAAACGATGTCCGATTTTTTTTATTTTACCCTTTATTTTTTTTAGGAAGACCAACAGTTAGTACAGATGCATCGCAGTAAAATAAACTATAGAGGACCATTTGCAGTTCTTCGCAGATGGTTTATAGTTTATGGAACTAAATCGGCGAAATAAAAAAAAATAGGCTCACCGGTCGGCGGCGTGTCGGTTCTGTGCCAGCCTCTGCATCAGCCACACCTGGGACAGCACCGCCGGCGGCACCAGCCCCGTGCCCAGCGTCGCCAGGGCCGCTACCATCTGCTGGAACTATATATGCACCAGTCAAATAAACATATAGTATCTTTATTTAACAATCAACACCACAAAACTTGAGTAATCAACAAACAAGTCGATTTGTTTAACAACGCAGGTAATTTCTCATGGTATTTGAAAAATAAAGACACGTAATCTTGTGGAATAGTGCACGATTCCAAATTATAATATACGGAATTAAACCCAATATTCGTATGTTATTTATAGTTACTGTAGATTCTAATAACAAAAATATTTACGACAAATACACATTTCTGGGAAATATTCGTTTTAAAAAATATTATATTTAGATAATTTACACACTATTCCTTATTACGTTTCCGCTAAAGCTAATTTTGAGGCACTGCCCATCTACGTGAATATCTTCTACTTCTAACACTTCTACCGTGGTACTAATAAACAAGGTTTAGCGTCAGAGTAAATTAACGCTAAAATTGCAATTTTAGTATTTGTTCCAATTCATATTATACAGAGAATAAGCAGACCTTTTAGGAGTATATTTTATTCCCGTAGAACCTCGTACTAGGTTAACCTTTGCCAAGTCTCTGTTTGTTAATATGAATTTTGACTAATAGTAAGTGCAGTCTCAGCGTAGATTTACTCCAACAAGGTTTACCTTGTTTATTAAGTAACACTGTTACAGTCTTATTATAAAACAAAGTCTAAATTTAGAACATGGTTTAAACCATCGCTTGGCAAAATTGACAATGACATAATAGAAAACGTCAAATTGAATTGTGTTAATTGATTTCGGTCTGATAATAATAATCATAAATTATGTCATGTCAATAACATATCGCCCATGAAGAGTCAATAAATAATAACTGACATTTTGTAAATTTTTGTTTTATTGAATTATTCGTTGTAAAATAGATTAAGTGACAATAGTGACAAACATTTTGGGTTCGTTTCTTATTTTCTTGTAAGATAAACAATAATTGCAATGTACTGAAAAAACAATATAATAGATTTGAAACGTTTTTTTTCGTCTCCTTTCGTCTCCTTTCGTTTCGTTGCATTTTTGCAGTTATTATTTATTGACTCTTCATAGACGATATTATAATCTGTATTAAGCGCTATATAGTAACGTATTATATAGCGCTCAGTGCAGATTGGTGGGTGTCAACAACTACAGGTGCAGCCGGGATCAACGGATTTATCGTAATTGTCGTCCCCACTGTATCGAAGCACGGAGGAGTTTGAGAAACTACATTTTTGCTCACCCATCCTATGACGGGCCATTGCGAAATAACAACCGTATTACAGACCATCAAGCTGATACTCTGGCTTATAATATTTAAATATAAATGTGATTTTAAAAGATGCAGGAACAATGTAAAATTAATAATTCATTCATTCTTATTATAAAAGTGGATACATTTTGTTTGATATAATTTTTCGAGACTTCGCCCGCGTTAATTAACTTTCCGTAGGCGCAAGAACTTTTAAAATCGGTCCAGCAGCTTCGATGCAGACAAATAATTAAATATTCATGATCGGATCAGTATTTCCGAAGAGTACTACAAACAAACAAACAAAGTTAGAAACAACCTTAGCGAAAAGTAGTGTTTATGCTTTTAAAAGTTGTTTAGTTGTTCACCTGTGCGATGGCCTGCGGACTCTGCGCCTGCAGCTGCAGCTGTAACAGGTGTTGCAGCAGAGGCGGAGCGCCCGCTGGACTCTTCGCCCCCGACACCGAACTGCTGTCTGATTCTGATGCCGGACTCTGTAACAAAATAGAAGTAAGTGAATACACAAAGATCTGGGAAATTTAACGTAATGGCTGCTTGAAGCGTAATCTAGTAGATAAGTAGCGAGTAGATTCTATTTTTAAATTCACGTAGCCTCGTACTTACTTGTTACTTATTTGTCTGTTTTCACGTACTTAAGCACTTGGAATTAAGTTAATCTACTTAATCATGTGGACGATAGGTGAAAGATAGATATGATTAACTAGGCCTAGACCCTTTCGGTCTAGGCTAAGAGCATTAAAATCACCAATATGCGGTTCACCCGATTTTCGGTGATTTTTAACCGTCACCCCATCTGCGAGGAGCAGGGACAAAATTAAAGAAAAAAATACGAGTAGTGAATAGAAAGAATAAACAAAATAAAACTCAGAAATGTGCTCAATTTTATACTAATATTAGAAACTTTTTCGGAGCAACAATCCCATTGGCCTGAGCTCTGGATCCAATCATCCTTAATTTGGCTTTCGACGGGTTTAATTTATTCTATTTTTCATTGACCAATCAGCAATCGCCTGTAAGTGTTTCTTTAATTTCAAGACCGTCTCCTAAACCATAAAAAGAGACAAGGTGTGCGAGAATGAAAGAAAGTATATGAAGAAAAGATGATTTTTATGTGTCACCATTGTAATTTTATAAAAATAAGTAAAATAAATATATCTTTTTGAATAACATCAACGACAAACACATAAATAAAAATAATCTGTAAAAATATTTGCCAACTCTAGTTTATTGAATAATTTTCCTCATTACAATAAAGAAAACATTTTGATAACGTTTTTATGTTAAAATACAAACAGATATAATCCTGTTGGATATAATTGTCATTAAAATTGGTGTATGTAGACGTCGGCGACGACATGGGCAATAAATTGTGATGTTATTCAAAAAGATATATTTATTTTACTTATTTTATAAAATTACAATGGTGACACATAAAAATCACCATCTTTTCTTCATATACTTTCTTTCATTCTCGCACACCTTGACTCCTTTTATGGTTTAGGACAGTCTCAAAATTAAAGAAACATTTACAGGCGATTGCTGATTAGTCAATGAAAAATATAAAAAATTTAAACCCGTCGAAATCCAAATTACTGATGATTGGATCCAGAGATCCAAAAAGTTTCTAACATTTTTATAAGTAATTTTTATTGTTAAAATGAGTTTGAAAACAGAATGTCAAAATTTTAAAATGTTTATTGACAATAAATATTATAAATTTTATTGATAGAATAAAAGAGTTTTTACGCAGGTAATACATATTTTGTGATAAGTTATATCGAATAAAAATTGTAGTGAAATTTCTTAAATGCACCTTTCAAATAATATTTTCACACTGATGGTTAAAAACGCTTTATCGAGCGCAATATTTAAAAATATAACCTGTCATTATTGTAGAAACTTTTCTAGTTAAATATTATAAAGTGTTTGTAGGTGGTTTTTTTTTTATAAGGTGTAGATATTTGAAATTTAGTGTATAACAAAAAAACTTTATCCTAGGTAGAAGAATCACGAAACTTATTCTTTTTTAAATTGTTTAATAATAAGTCTTCTTATAGTTAAACGATTAAAAAAAAGATATAGAACTATACCAAGGAAATTATGCTTATGGACTATAATTTAATAAAAAATCTAAAAGCGGATTTCTAGTTCCATTTTCAAATGCTGATATTTTCACGCACGACGAAAACACAAAATGGCGCTCGCACCGAGACCGGTTTCACCTTGACGTTTCGCTAATCACGTCCACCTTGAATAATAACTAACGAATTGTTTAGCAGACACACCGGTAACGAACGTGTGTGTTGACAGAATTATTATGGCTTAAAACCTTGGACGTTACTCGTATGGATATTTTCAAATAGGTGAGGGTCTAGACCGCGCACAGGTTATTTTATTTAATAACAATACTATACCTTATAATAACTTATAATAACTCGCGCCTACAATAGCTTATTTGATTAAAGTACTTAACTTGAAATTATTAGGTACTTACCAACCTTCAAACCAAATTAAATTATTCACAATTCCAATTTGAATTCAATCTAATTCTATTCTGTTTTCACATGTAAGTAATCTATGAAAATAAAGTGTAGTACTCCAGTACTCCACTACTCTTGTGTATTATAATAAGCTGACATTATAACGTTATTAGATGACAATTATGTAAGCTTATTAGCAGATGACACCTATACCTAATTAAAAAGTAATTTGACATGATTAAAATTAAAGTTAGTTAATTCTATTATTTTATGTAGGTAATTAGACTTCATGAAAACAGTGCAAAATTTAGTTTGAATTTCCCCACTAGTGTTAGAAAACAAATCTTACGATGACAAGGAATCAGCGTTTTAAAGGTATTTAATAACAATTATTTTTTTCTGTTGTAAAGATGACACTGTCAAATTAAAAATTGCGGCGCTATCCTCTATTTTTTCCTATTGGTATTTTGACGGGTTTTTGTTATTACTTATACCTACTTATTACGTCCTAAAAGAATGTAACAAAAGCAGTTATGAATTATCATCTATATATTAACGAATTTTAGACAAAAATAAATAAAAGCTTCCAAAAAATTACAATGCGTGATAATTTATGCTACTAAGGATGTATATTACTTTCGCAATTTTCATGATCTTAGATTTTGGTTATAACTCGTGTGTTCATAAGTTTTGAGACAAACTTTTTTAAGAAAAAATAAAAATGAAGTGTTTCTGGCTGTGACTTATTTGTTTTTACCGAATTTGAATTTAGAAGGTTAACTTTTAGATTTTTTCGTGATAAAGGGAACTAAACAATTACGTGCAACTGTCGTTTCGCTATTTAAGGCGGGAAAAAAACCGATGCAGAATTTCCGCGAGCTGAAAAGTTTTCCTGTAAGCCGTAACTTCGTCTATTACACAATACAACGGTACAAAGAGACAAGTTCTCTGCAAGATCGCCAAAGGAGGGTCGACCTCCCTTTGTGCGGACGCCTGCGAACGTCAAAATCATCCGAGAGCGACTTCGCCGAAATCCATGTCGCACTCGGAGGAATCTCGCTCTGCAGACTAATATTTCATGCGTTTCAGAGAACAGAATACCGAGATACGATCTTAGGGCCTATAGCCGTACAAAAGTTCACTTTTAAGCGATCGTCTTCGTAAGTTACGACGCGAACGTTGTCCATTGCTGCTGAGGTGACATGATGCCAGGAAAACACTCTTCACTGACGAGAAAATTTTTATTGTCCAAGAAAAGTTCAACCGACAAAACAATAAAGTGTACGCTAAAAGTAGCAAGAATGTGATGGTATGGTGGGGAGTTTCGTATGAAGGTGTCACTCCACTCCATTTCTGCCAACAAGGTGTCAAAGTGAAAGTCAAGAATTATCAGAGTGACATTTTAGAGCCCGTGGGGAAACCCCTGTCTGATACGTTATTTCACAATAAGGATTGGGTTTTTCAGCAAAACTTGGCGCCATCCCATAAGGCAAAAAGCACCCAAGCTTTGTTGAGGGAGAATATGCCGACCATCATCGCGGCGGGCGAGTGGCCCTCCTCCAGCCCCGACCTTAACCCGCTGGATGAAATTATTCTTTATGGACTGAATTAGAGCGCATGGCCTGTCGATGTTCCCACCCAAACTAGGAGTTACTGAAGTGAACCCTTGTTCGAGAAGCAAAGCGAACTCCGCAAAAGATTCGTGCCGCCATTGATGACTGGCCAAATAGTCTAAGAGCATGTATTTATAGCAAGGGAGATCATTTTTAATAAAATATATATTTCATTGTTGATTATTATTTATTTAATGGTTACTGATTATTTTAGAAATATAAGTTAATTATTTAAAAGGTCGTATCAAAATTTAAGAAAACACGAGGTAATCATAAGGCTAGGCCGAGTTATCTGATTTAGGTTTTGAAATGTTTGTCATAGTACAGGAAACATTTAGACGGTGAGAGGTGATATGAGGAGAAGTACACCGGGTCATTTAGATTATTATAATAAAATTAGTAGTTAGAGTGAAATAAAAAAAAAAATACCCCGCTTGGTCATAGGCCATAAATGAATATTCTTATCTTTGTTGAATTAACGACAGCCCTAAGGCCCATTGAGCAGCTGCTGCCATTATTTGAACTTGGGACGTAAAAAAGCTACATAATTTGCCGCTCGCCAAATGGTGGGGTCTACACATTCTAATTCTAAGCTATGGCCTCGACCAATGGCGGCCGAGGACGACCCAACATGGCGGCCGTGGGAACCGGTTAATGGGCTGTTTGAATTTAGAATAGTATTTTCATTAATGCTTTCGAGAACAATTGTTTTTTTTTTCTAATACCTTATACAATAGGCAGGGGAATTAGATCTATTCTTCCGCGTATAAATGAATAGGAACAAGAGGCAATTTGAATAAGGTCGTAAGGTGACAACTGTTTGTATGGTTGATTTAAATATTTGCATATTTTTTTAATTCTGCTACGTGATTTTCTAATCGAAGCAAGTAAAAGGTGACATAAATAATTTAAATTAAATTGTTGTTCGGTGAATTATTGTTTACCTACTTCGATTAATAAAATTGTAGGATATATAAAATAGTTATTGTATTTTATTGAAATAGCTCGAGAAATAACATGTCTGTCTGAAGAGCAAAACCATGAGCTTTCAGGAGAGGCCCTTTAAATTTGAAAATTATCTATTTTTAAAAGTATAAATTTGTAATGAACGGGCACGAACTAATCGTGTCAAAATATGCAAGAGCTTTCTAAAGCTGGATTGTCAAGTGTGTTGAAGAACTAAGTGTATACATTACTTAGTGCCCAGTGCGGATGTCAGATGCTGAAACATCTCGTGGCGGCGCAAAACAAACTTCTAGCGATTGTTGAATATGTTTAATGCATTAAATGAAAATTTGAGTAATTTTTAATGAACTAACTACTAATAATTTAGTAATAATTTAACTTTTAACTTTTTTCGGAATTTTACTTAACTTTTCC